AAATAAGAATTATGGCCAACCTAAATGTCAGAACGAGTGCAGTTCAAATTCGGCCTTTACCCCCAAAAAAAAATTTCATATTTGGCCCTGTTTATCTTTGAGAAAGTCTTAAGGCTAAAATTTTAGGCGACCATTCTCAAATCCACTTTTGTAATTTATATAAATATAGATTTTTTTTTAGGTGACGACTCAAATTTCATATGTGAATAATTGAAAACCTAAAATTAGGTTGTGTTATAGGCAGTCTTGGCTAGGGGGATTAGAATTATAAGGGGCTATTATCGATTGATGTAAAATTTTTTTTTAAAAAAAACTAATTGACCAGAATTAACAAAAGCTATTCTTGGGTAGATTTTAACTGACATTAAAAAAATATTTTTCAAAAAGAGATACCTGGTAAGAGCTATGAATCAATATATGAAAATTATAAGAGTTTTTCTTTTCTTTTATTTTTTAGACATAATACGAGAAACAGGGTGTTTGGGATCAAATTGGAGTAATCTCAAAAGATTACTAGATTTATATGTCCAAATCCACTGAAATTTATGAACTCCGAAACTTGAGAGCGTAATATCTTCAGAGAACACCGTAAAGCAAAATGACACACTTCTTCTCAAGGGGCAAAAAAAAGGTGTTTCAAGGGAGCAACGATCAACCCACATAGCAAACAAATAAAGAAAATCTCTAATGCATTTACTTTTTTCAATATAGCGTATATGATATAAATTACAATCACGAGTCACATATAGTCCATGATGGTGACACGAATTAAGTCCACCCAAACTTTTATGCACTCCCCTCCCCGCCCCCCAAATGATTAACATGTAGTGTATACAATGGTACTCATAAGTTGCAGAAACTTAGGCTAGATCATATGTACTTGGTTTAGTTGATAAGAACGTGTTATTTTCTTACAAAAGGTCATGTATTCGAATTTCGCTGTCGATATCAAGGCTATTTTGATGGACGATTGATAAGAACCTCTGTAAGTGACTTATAATTGGAAGCATGTCCTGACCTGACTCGTGAGAGTGACTGAAGCCAAATTCACCCAAACTTTTTTTTTAAAAAAAAAATTCCTATGTACTTGAGCCCTAACTCCAACCGAAAATGTTAAAAAGGAAAAGTCATTTGTACCTTAACTCCAACTGAAAAAGCAAAAATAAAAAAGTCTGTAGGTTGATATATTTAAAAAAAAAAAAAAATCTGGCATTCCGAGGTATTCACTATTCAGTAGAGGTGTCAAATAAAACCATTTAACTAATTTTACCCATACCCGCCCATTAATAATTGAATATGGGTATATTAAATTTTTATATATGAATATAAATGGGTTACCCAATTATACCCATTTAATAAATGGGTATAATTGGGTAACCCATCTAACCCATTTAACCCATTTAACTTACATTCCCAAACCTTTTGTATTTCTCGGGGTAAAAAAGAGCTGGCACCACCTCACCCAACCCCAACTTCCAGACTTTTTCTTTGACCGACAATTAACCCCGTCAAATCACCCATTTCCTTCCCTTCATTTCGTCTTTTCTACTTAACCAAATGCTTCTTAACTTTGACAAAAAAAAAAAAGCTTCTTAACCATGGGGAAAAAAAAAAGGCTGTCAAAAATTATTTAATTTTTTTCTTTTTTTTTATAAAGAAAAGGTATTGAATTTAAAACTTCCTACTCATAATCTCTTCCTATGTTCCAATCAAATCCTCCCTGCCCTGTTCAAAATTATTTGCATTTGGAGTTGGATTGCATGTTTGTTGCTAGTCTAGCATAGATCACAACGGACTGTTTTTCCTTTGAATTTCGGGGATCAGGTTAGAAACTTGCACCACTTACATTATATGTCCACTTCAACTTTCATCGAAAACAAGTAAGTAATATTATTGACAGTGTGTCCAAAAAATAAAAATCACAAATACTAGGGGTTCAAAGTTTTGGATTAAATTTTTTTGTTAACTTTCATATTATTTAGTCCAAAATTTTAGATTCTCATTGTTCAATTATTAAATAATATGTAATTTTGCGACATGGCATGCGGATGGAAAAAAAATTGATAATTAGACTTATTTGGCATAATAAGTAAATATTTAAAATTAATGATGGGTGTAAAATGGTATAAATTGATAATTTAGTTTAAAAATGAATTTATATGAGCTTGTAAAAATTTAGAATAAATGGGTTATAAATGGATAATTGGGTTACCCAACTCATTTTTTGACTTACCCATTTATACCCATCTAATTAAATAGATATAAATGGGTTGACTCACTTATACCCATTACCCATTTTACCCAACCCAAACCCGCCCAAATCACCCATCTTGCCACCTCTACTATTCAGGGACTGAAGGTGTAAGTCCAATTCTACAGTAAGACTAATCGTAAACATAGAAAAAACTCGAGGACCGAAAATGAATATTCGACCACGGAGATCAGCTCTTATTTTGTCTGCGACACCACTAGTGTCGTCTTCTTCTCGAACTTGAACAAAAGCCCTTCTGTCTCGTTGCCCCTAAGGATCCTCTCATTTCTCATCAATTTTCAATTTTACACCATGGATTACGAACAAGACTTCGGAGATCGCGTGCCTCCCTCCTTTGATTCGGTACTTTTTTTCACAGATCTATGAATTTGTGTTTCTCAATCTGGATTTTTTGAATTCACGAGATCCAATTTGATTGCAAGCAATTTTAACTATTTCTCGTTCTGATCTGTGGTTATAACTCAGTAATCCGAGTGATTTTTGTTTGTTCATGTGATTCTCTTTTTTCCCTCTCTTGTTTCTATGTGCTCTAGAATTAGAGATGGACTTGTTTGATTAAGAATTTGCTCACTCTGTCCTTATTTTGTTGGAAATCGTTTAATCTTCTTACTTCTTGTATTTCGTGGTAACTTAAATTCATCTGGTCCTGAAAATTTTGTTGGTGTGTGGCGATGATGCAGAATAGCTTCTTCTTTTTTATATATTTTTTGAAGATTTTCCAATCCAGAGGTGAAATATTAAAATTGGCTATATAAAAATGTTACTGGCTGATCGAAGGGAACATATGAACAATTAATTTGTGGACTACCATAGAAATCCACATTTGATTCCGTGAACTTTTGCAGATGCTATAATTCATGTGAATTTGATTAAATGGACTTGAGAAAAAGTTAGGAAGATTATGTAGATGCTTAAGATGTTGAGATTACTTTCAGAGAATTTATTCTCAATTTCTTTTTCGAAATAAGTTTAGAAAATTTCTGTATATCATTTAGATTTTGGATGTTAAGTTGCAGAGTGTAGAGACCTAGACTAGCATTTCCAGACTATTTAATGGCAGCTGCCTCGTGCTCCTATTTTCATCTGTTTTTGACAATAGGAGGTTCAGAGAAGAAATTTAAGTTATGCATTTTATCAACTGAGTCTTGGAAAAGAAAAAACGAGATTTTATGTGAATAGGAGCTGGCTAAGAGCACTGATTTTGCTTTGGATGAGAGCACTGTATGGTTTATGGTTGTCAATCCCTTGTGTGTTTGGTGTCTTGCCTTTGGAGATTGATTCAAGCTTTTGTTTGTCAAGAACTTCTGAAAATGTGTGATGGCATGATCTCAGAAATTGTGGAAATGTGGTTTAGGAGTGACTTTTGCAGCGTCACTTTTGTCTAGAGCACTTGTGCAGTGTTCCTTCCCCCCCCCCCCCTCTGGGCATATCAAGACTTTGTTCATTGTGAATAATCAGTTTACATATTATATCTGATGGACTGACAGAGAAACATGGGGGTGGAAACTGAAGCCAAAGGATTCAATCCGGGATTGATTGTCTTACTTCTCGTTGGTGGGCTAATATTGGCATTCCTTGTTGGGAATTACTTTCTTTACATGTATGCACAGAAAACCCTTCCTCCAAAGAAAAAGAAGCCAGTTTCCAAGAAGAAGATGAAGAAGGAGAGACTGAAGCAAGGTGTTTCAGCACCAGGAGAATAGACATTTTGAAGTCTAGGATTGTACTGGTCTTGATGATGTTGAGCTGCTGCATCCAAATCTCATTGATTAGCAATGTTGACACGGATGCCTGCACCTTCTGCCGACATTTTTGTTCTTTTACTTATTATAAAACTAGATAGAACTTGAAAATTGGAAATTTTTCCCCCTGTTATGAAAGAGAACTGTTTTTTGTTTAAAATATGTTTGCTGCTTTGATTTCCTAGTTTTTGAATCATTGCGTTTTTTGGTTGACTCTGTCCGACTTCACGAGTATTTGATGCTAAAAAAATGTTTAAAACTCAATAGGGGTCTGAAATAGGGTTGCAAATAAATCGAACCAAACTAATCAACTCGAACTTGAGTTGGAATTCAATTTAAAGATATTTAACTCATTAACTCACGAGTCGGTTTCGGTTTGATTAAATAATTTTATTTTTTATTTTAATAGTATAAATATAAATATATATAATTTTTTGTTAATATTTTATTATTTATTAAGAAAATTATTATTTTATTTTTTTAAAAAAATAAAATAATTTTTTTTTATCTTTTAAAGTTGAAATTCAAGTTTTATATTTTGAACTCATCAAACTCGAGTTTAAACTTTATAAAACTAAGTTAAAATTTGACTTGATTAGAATAAAATTTGCATTCCTAATCTGGATGCATTGCTAATTTGACCTACCACTATCTAGAATTCTACAATATACCTACTTTCATTTCAGGCGCTGTACTTGTTACTAATCCTGCTAGGCATTTCCAACGTTTCTAAGCCTTTTTTGTTTACTTTTTTTTGAGATTTTGCGTGACCAATTTTCACCTTCATTTTGCATTTGCTCGAGGGCGTGTTCTTCTAGTTCAGAGTGGCTGCAAGTCCACATTTAGCCGGAAGTTTATTCGTCTTTTCTGTTAAAAAGATTGGTAGGAGAAAATTTGCTTTCTCTAACCAAAAAATGGTTCCTCAAAATTAAGTCCATATTATTCCACACCGATAGCTCAATAGCAAGGGATTTGGGCTATGCAAGTTGTAAATAATACTCCTAGGATCATTCACTCGAAAAGTACATATACTTGGCCAATACAAACTTACAAGTCTTTAAAGTTTTCATAGATGTTTATTTATTTATACATATCAAACAGACAAAATAAACTGACATTCAAATTTTGCAAGTTATAGCAGTGTTTATCTAACCATCGGGTCTCGTAAGTAAACGATCCCTACAGGATTATAAAATCCACGCACAATTCAGGCATCATATTCAGGCTCCTCGGCCCATAATCTGCTCTCCTGGTGGAATCATGACCAAGACTGGATGGGCATTGAATCCAGGGTGATGAAGCCTGCGACGAACCTCACGACCTTCCTGACAAAGGGCGCATGCATGGCAGAAGACATGGGTTGCGAAGTCACAGGCTGTTTCACACTGCTCACGTTGCGCCTCATCCTCCACAAAGCTTCCACAGCACCCACATGATCTGGTAAGCGCTTCACAGCTTCCCTATTGACATCAAATCACCCAATATTTATGCAAGGACCTCACAACCCAACTATAAAATGATCCCAACACTTAATATAGAGGAATTTACAATTTAAAGCAAGTTTGAACTCAATTTACATTTCTCCACTGATAACGCTTAAAAGTAAAACCAGCTAAAACCCTTGAAAGGGGTCAAAATAATAGCCAATGAAAAACAAAATCATCGCTCGGACAGACAGAAAAGTGATAATTCAAGCAACAATCACAGGCAGACCAATCAACAAGTATACTCATCAGGGATCTGGTGTCATTATCATAAGTGAACAATGGACGACGCTGTAAGAACTATGGATGCAGTTATTGCAAGTCCACGCGTTCTAACACACTAGTATAGACAAATGGTAAGAAAGGTGCTTCATAGACAAGTGGTAAGGTAGCAAGGAACTCAAGCTGTGCTACCTTTTTCCTTAGTGAATGTGACAAGCTGAAGCTAGTTCAATATCAACACAACCACTCAGCAGGTTTGTCATTCAAAACAACTTCCGCCTATAACCCATGATTCCAAGACCAATACACAAAGGATAGTTCAAATACTAAGTGAGAAGTTGAGACTCAACTCTTCAATGGTCATCTATAGTGAAAGTGTCAACATATGAGCTAGTGTGAACCAAATGTTTGTGCCTTCTATGACAATTCTCAATGCCTGAGAACATTTCTACAACATGCAAGCTAAATCTGCATGCTTGAGCGTGCAAGTGTGTTGGTGGAGTAAGAGGGAGAGAAATTTCAAGGACAATGAATGAAGCTATACTTCTAAATAAGTCAGTGCACCTACATAAAAAGTCAATCGTTGCATCTGCCCCCAATATTTCAGCTTGTTTAGGACATTTGTTTTGTCAGCATAGCACTCAAAAACCAGCACTAAACTTTCTTAATGCCCCTAAACTTTCTTAATTGCAAGGCATTTACCTATTAATATTTTGACCAAGGCATCATTGTTCAACTGGACCAAACTCCATAAAAGACAAAGAAAGAACACAGTTTCTTGAAATACAAGCAATGGCATACCTCCAAATTGAACTTTCGGCGGATAGCAGTACGGCTGGAGTATGAAAACCAGGGTGCTAAGCAGTTCCAGCCAAAAAGGGAATTCCCAATCAGGTACAGACCTGTGTAAGGCAAGCAGTGATTTGCGAAAGTCCCTGGTGCTGATCCAAGTCTTTCAGCATTGCTACCATAGAGAACACAAGGTGCCACACTTCCTAGCAGACCTGTTCCATGTCACTACATTTTAGTGCTAGAGACAAGGTAAGGGAAGAAAGGAAATGATAGCATACCAAAAGCTACACTAGAGGACATCAAACCAAAAAACAATGCAAAAACAACATAGTAAAAATCAACTACCAACAACTGAACTAGAAAGGCAGCCACCCTTGCAATAGGGGTTATTCACCCACTATTGTCTTTTCTATTGGAAATTAAAATAATATTGTTGGGTTTAACAGGTTTACACAATTATGAAAGTCAGGCTTAAATTGTCTAAGACCAAAACGTTTATTTCTTCTTCTCTTCATCAAAATTCATCTTGGCCCTTAATTTTTCAGCAAATCTCAATCTTCTCCTTCAAACAACAATCTTCTGCCTCCTTTCTTCATCAGTTTTGAGTTTGCCTATCTGCCCTTTTGCAATCTATCTTGGTTCTCACTTTTGGCTGCTCTGCTAGCCTTCAAGCTGAAATTAAGGTCACGATGCCTATCTCACAAGGTGATTTTTGCCTAAAATTTAAAAACTAATTTGTCATTTTGGGAGGGAGACAAACATACAATGAGCATCATATTGCTTGTATATTATTTCCTTGTCTTTTCCTCTGAAAAAAGGACAATAATATGGCCTCCTTCCAAGGTAAAGAAGAAAAATATCTGAGGGCATTGGAAGTCCACTCGATTTCTTAGGAGTCGACTTTAACTTCAAAGTCGATCGCCTAGAAGCCGACTTCAAAATCAACAATGCTTTCTAATTTTTTGATACAAAAAAGGCAACATTCAGATGTTTAAATACTCGTCTAAGTTGATATTAGCTCTAAGATCAGCAATCAATGAAAAAAACAAAAAAATAAAATCAGGAAACCAATAACTCATCGAAAATCGAATGTTCAAAGGATTTCTTTTTTTTTTTTTTTGGTCCAAAAAGAAAAGGACGAAGAAGAGAAATAGGTAATAAATTTAAGAAGAAATGCTCACAAACTTCAAGATCGCTGCTGCAAAAGTCATCATTCCTGCCCAGACAGGCGCAGAGGCTGGAGTCCCAGTGGGCCCTACCCATCATAGGCTCCCCCATGACGCTCCCATGGCTGAGTGGCAGACCATTGGCGGTCCAACTCATCGGAATGGGAGGAGCTGATTTCTTAGCTGCATCGGGCGCCTTGCCGTCGGCGGATTTGGTGGGGTAAACAGCTTCATTCTGGCTGAGGTCTTTTTCCACTTTAGACTCTTGTTGCTTAGGCAAAAGAGGACTCGATTCCTCGGAATTGGCCATTATTAGGGATCCAGGAACTACACTATATTCCTCAGAAAATCCTGAAAATAAGGAGGAAGGAGATTTGGAATTTTGGGAGCTAAAGAAACTTAACAACAAAGATTGGGTGAAACGTACGAATAGGGAGAGTGGTGAAAGATTGGAAAAGGTCAACTAACTTAGCAAAAGTCGGTGGAATTTATTTTGTTTTTTTTTTAATTTTGTTAAAATTCTTTTTCCCTCTTTCAGATTCTCCTCTCGCGGGCCCGCAAGCGTTCCATTTGGGCCTCCCTGAGTTTTGTCCAATTTGGGCGGAACGAAGCACTGAACCTCAAAACCCAAACAAATTTCGCACAGTGGAATGGGAGTGTTTAGATACAATTTTTTTTTTTTTAGTAAATCTTATATACACTGACAATATATACATATCTTCGTTGGATTCATGATATATATGTAAAAATTGAATTTCAAATTCAAATTTTGTAAATTTATCATTCATCTAACGTTGACAGTGTATACACTGTCAGTGTAGGAAAAATTAATCCTTTTTTTTAAAAAAAAATCGTTTAAAATATGCTTTATATTTCACTAAATAAAATTTTTCACCTTTCACTTTTAAAATATTAATTCTACATCTTTTACAAATTCAAATCAACAAAATTTGATCTTAACCTAGGTTTTTTACTACTTTTTAATTTGAAATTACCACATGATTCACATATGATTATTTTTTAGGTACAAAAATGTTAGATTCCATTTGTTTAGGCGCAAAAATGAATGCGGACCAGGTCAAATTTTACTTTTTTTAGGAGAAAAATGAATATAGTTCAAGTCATATTCTAGTTTTCTTTTAGAGGCAAAAATGAATATAAATCGGGTCATTTGTTTAATTACAAATAGTATCTAACCTTTTTTACGTTAAAAAATAATCATATGTGAGTCACATAATGGATACAGGGTAAAAAAAATAATCAAAAATATAAGTTGGAACCAAATTACTGACTTAAATTTATAAATATGTGAAATTAATATCTTAAAAGTGATTAATGAAAAAGTTCATTTGGTCAAATGTGAGTGAGGTTTTGAATGATTATCATATTTTTAAAATTTCCCTTTCATTGTTGTGATACAGTGAACAAGTCAACCAATCACCTCTACTTTAATGTGAACAATTGTGGGAAGATGAAAATTTCAGGTTAGGAATTTTCCTCTATAAAGTGGGTAAATATTTCTCATATCTTGATGGATTTGAAGCTTTTTATGTCGTTTTTGGGATCGATTGGTCTCGGCGAAGCTGGCTAACAGAGTGATGGCGATTGACTTTTCCCGTTATGATGGTGTTGGCTTTTGCAATTTTGAAGCATATTGAAGAACTGGTAGAGAAGAAGGTATGATATCAATTTTATATTTTGACCCCCAAAGTTTTGCTCCTCTTAGTTTGACCTAGAAAAATATAATATACAACACATATTAGCGATAAAAATCAAATAGAGAGAAAATGTTGGATGTATTTACGTAAGGGTACAACAATAGTAAAAAAAAAGAAAGGTAAGGGTATAAATAGCACTTCAACTGGCGCTGTTAATCATGTTCACTTGTTCAGTTCCATCCATTCTCTACATTCCATTAAACTACAGAGGTGACTATATACTATCTAGTCATCTTAAAACAATAGAAGGGTCACGGGGTTATATGTAATTTAACCTGAAACATAGTGAGTCACCATTGTCACAGTAAGCATGATATTGATGGGCAGTCTTCCAGCGTGAAACCTCATCACCGGATCTCGACCTTTGAGATCTCAAAAAGCATTTAGAGTGATAGTTCAAAAATCTTACTTCCCATCAAAATTATCATTTAATATGATTTTTCTTAAATTCATATAGGTATGTAATATATCCGTATGGTTCGATAGTGATTCAGTTTCTATCGATTTTCTCTGACTCTGTGAGGTAACTCTCTAAAATAGGTTAGAGTAAGAATACAAGTAAGTTTAGATGATGACAATTGACAAAAAAAAAAAAAAAAGAATAGTTCAAACTGTGCCAATTATTTGCAAAGATATAAAAGAAAAGTGTAACACCAGAGAGAGAGAGAGGGGTATGAGTACTTATCTCATTTTTTTACAAAACAAAACTTGGGTTCTGTTTCTAACTTGATCGTCGGAGGCTATTCTAGCGATCAAGCTCAGTTTCCTTTTACAGGTTATTTGCTAAGGAATCATCAAACTTCAACTACATCATGATAAAATTGCAGAAATCAACTTCTACACACACACACACACATGTTTTCATTCCTGCTCGAGGTGATGACATCGTGCTTTGTTAGTGCTTGGTTACGTACGTACATGATCTTAACTGCATTGATTTATACTAGTTATACTTAACTGCATTGCTGTTATTGGCTGTTCAATAATTTAATTCTGGTGTTCTTCTCCTAATTGAACAAAAGGGCTTGTGTTTCTTGTATTTTCTAAATTTAAAGCTGTGTTCTCTGGCAGCAGGATGGTTAGTTTGCTCCATCGAATTCTGTCTCCTTTTTCACTGCAATTTTATCTGACTTTGAAGACGCACGGAATAAAGAAAGTCCGACATTGATTTTTAAGGTTCTAAAATAATACTCCGGTTGATGAATATTCAACAACACGGAGACTGTTAATCCAGCTCCTAGGTCGCAGTCTCCTCCGTCTTTGCCCAGACAGGTAAATGTCAGTGAATGTCAGCCAGAAACTAAAAGAATGGCTGCTTTCTGCACCATGCGTCATCAATCATTATAAGTTAGCAAAGTTAGAGCTGAGTCCTGCGCAAAACATAGTTGAGAAAACTTTGTGGACTATGTGGGATTTACTCAGAAAAACAGTTCCCATCAAGTTACTGTCGAGAAAGGTAGTATATGGTGCTCTAAAAGTTTGTGAGACTCTAATTGCTTCGATTTACTCGCGAATGCAACTTGCAATTCAATTTTGGAACTGAAAAAACACGTCTGCTGTTGTTTGCAGAGGCTGTATATGACCGAACTTGGAACCAAGAGATATGGTAATCATTACATCTAAGTTACAAGTTTCAAATAACAAGTTCACAATCCACATTTACACGTAACACCTGTATATAAAAGGAATGCAAAAGGCTGCTGTATCAGTTGGTGATCACAAAGGTAACACTTGATATACTTTTACACACAACACGTTCATATATAGGTCACAGTATCATATAGAAAATTCTTGACTCGTTTATGTTTCATTTCCAACGACTGACGTGACTTTGATTGCGAACATCTTCAGTCATGTATCTTCTTCCCCTGCTAAAATTGAACGAAATCGGTTTCATTAGTCAAGACTTAATTTTGTAGGTAAACTGCATTTATTAACATCATTCTCTCCTTCTGCAGAATGATCAAAAGATTCTAATTAGCTGGGAGCTTGTTAGTACTACCACAAATTACTTCTTAGGTCTTACCTTTCCTTCTGATCTGACAACTCTGAAGTCTTTGGATTTGCTATGCGCATTCACGTTTTGATGATGGATATTGTGCCTGCCATTAGATCGGTTGGGAGGAGGAAGGTAAGAGTGAGTCTCTGGGCCTCTGTAATCAATTTCGTAGATGTCGAGCTCCTTCTTTTGCATACCTGGAATTGATTTCATTTACAAGTCAGGACGATTTTTTTTCCATCAAGCATCATCTGGAAGAACCCAGAAATTTTGTGAAAGAGCTTTACTTGCATACCTCTCGAAAGGCAAGGTGTCAGGAGGAGGAAAAGAAGGAAACCAGCTGCGGCGATGCAGGGCCGGAACTCCATTGCACAGCAAGACTGAGTTGATCAATTTGGTAAAAAGCTTATTTTGGTTTCTTGGGCAGTCCTTAGGGAGGATCAAGGAAGCAGCACGCAGATTTTAGTTAAGACAGTAGTGGTGCGAAGGAACTTTTGGCAATTGAAACCGTCGCCATCCGAACAGCAATAAGTTGCAAGGTCCTGATGTAGATGTGTTGGGGCGGAACATTTATGTTTATGTAGTGCATTGTGTTGCAACTAGAAGACCTTAAAAAGTTATAGATAAATTTGATTTTGGCTTTGCTTTGGTAGGCTGGACAGTCCCATGTGTGTATTATTGATACTGTATGTCCAAGGCCTTGGCAAAGCAGACCCCCTTTGCCGGAATTCACAGCAAAACACCCAAACCTGTACCACCTACCTATACTTTTCCTCTCTCTCTCAAGTCCCACCCCTCCTTTTCTGTCATTAAACTCTTGGATTTCACATCTTATTGCTATGGCATGGCATAATATGACAGAACACAATTATATGGGGACTTAATCTCTGGAAACTGAAAACACATATGTCGAGCAGAAGGGTTGTAATTATATGTAATTGGATTATAGGGATCGTTTCCTTTAATGCGCTATTGCGTGTTGCAGATTCTGGTTGGACATTAAATGCATTTTCAATGCTAAAGGATATCTTCTTCTTCTTCTTTTTTTGAAAAACAACCCTAAAGGATTTGAGTTTAATGAATCTCTTACATATGGGCCTAGAAAGAAACAAGGTAGCAAGGTCTCCTAGTTTAGGAATCATTTTGTCCGAAGCCTGGAGGGGCGCCTGTTTCCCCAGAAACATTGCCAGGATTTAACAGTTTCTGACTACTGTGACAAAAGCACAAAGGATTAGGGAAGGAGTCTGGGACAAAGCTAAAGGTTCACAGCATGTTAAACAAGAGTCCAAGCTAAGCTATGGGATTCGCGATTGATAGTTTACTAATCCCATTGTTTAACAAACAAATACTCAGTAAAAGAAAAAGAAGCTGTTTAACGAATGATAAAGAGAGCTTTTTTCACTCAGGGGACAGCTACAAGAAGCTGGCGACAAAAGCAAAAACTGGCAGGACATTCCGCCAAAGCAACATGTATAATCATGTATTCATGTCTCCTGGATGATATTCAGGCTCATATGAATGAATCTCCCCATAGCTTTTTTGGGCTTTTTTTTATTTGAACGTGTTTATCTAGTGTTTGGATTTTTTCAGGCGGTAAGTTGTCAATGTAGATAACGATATCCAGAAATAACGTTTTGGCAAAATCGCATTTGCTAGTTAAAAATTGGAAAAAAAAAAAAAAAGAAGATAAAATTCTATTTTGATTGACATTAAGTATTATTACTCAATTAGTATCAAAAGCCTTTCAAGACTTATCATCCGATTTTTTAAATCTTGTAATTTGCTGAGGGCTCGTACACAATGCAATGGAGGCGGCAAAAGAGGTCTAACTGGACTGCATCTTAATTCGGCTTAAAATAAAGAGGTCTACCGTACAATTCTCCCGTTTCAATCAACCAACGGCCCATTTTCTATTATCGTTTGCAAAAAAAAAAATGAACGGCCCATCCCTTGCTAATGATCTTTGAAGAAGCCCAAGCAAAAAGAGCTATAGTCATTTTGGTGACTGAAAACCATTTTCTGCCATTAGCACGAATTGTTTTTTGAGTCAACTTGTGTCGGACGTTTTCAACTAGTTTATTCATGATATTATTTTTCTCTTTATCAAAAAAAAAAAGTCGAACTACCACAACCACCGAACATTCCAAAAAAAAAAAACTCAAAAATAAAATAAAATCAAAATACACCAACACGATGGAGGAGGAGAATTCCGTACCCTGGTTCCTCTCGAGGAAGATACTTTATTAGATATGTATGTATATATATATATATATTAAAATTACTATTTTATATTTATAATTATTATTTTAATACTCATCGTTTCAAACAGTGATCCATTGTTTGAATTAATGATCCGCTAACCTGGTCTTTTGTCGGATTCCTTATCTATCCGAATTTAATGATCATGATGTTAAAATTCAACTTTTGTACACATGTTATAGATCTAACAATGATAATATATATACTGTTAGTATATATAAGATTTACTCTAATTTTTATTTGATAGCATATAGAATTTTAGGGCAAAAAGAAGAAGTCATTATAATTTTCTAATTACAGCTATAGAGACTTGTCAAAAAAGAACCCAAAAATATAAAATAAAACAAAATCAACTCAAAATAGACCAACACGATGGAGGGGGAGAATTCCGGATCCTTTCAAGGAAGATACTTTATTAGATATTTTATGTATATTAAAATTATTATTTTAATATTTATCGATTCAAACAGTGATCCATTATTTAAATTAGTGACGCGCTGACGCCGCCGTCCTCAATCGGATTCCTTATCTATCCGAATTTAATGACTACGATGTCGAAGCCAAGTGCCCTCGCGGCCTCGCCAAACCTTCACAACCCCATCTCCCCAGGAAAAATTGAAAGACGCACACACAGCGGTCACACGGGAAATTGTGACAATGAAAAAGAAAGAGCAACAAACCCTACTCCATCATCAGAATTCAGAAATATGACAATGAAGATATACACGGATAGATTGATGGAATGATAGTACAAGTTTGTCTTACGCTATGGCCGGATATGACGCCAACGGTGAATTGGAATTGGGACTTCCTCAAAAAAAAAAAAAGGAAGAATTGGAACGGCCCCAAACGGTCAGATTCCAACAGCAAAAAAATGGGTTGCCTCTCCGATTGCGTAACACAAAGGGTACCAAGTACCAACTTCTGCTTTTCCACTTTCCAATCAAAAGCCTCCTCTATCACGCCAATGCCAAATCCTGTCCTCCGGACTCCACAGCGTCAAAGTGTGGGTCCCCTCATAAAAAAAAGGTTAAATTTTAAGAAAGTCTAAACCCATTTATTCATCTAAGAATCCAATAATAGCCATGGGCCTTTGGCCTGATTAAAAAATTGTCAGAATATGTGACGGCCTTAATTGGCCATCTTCGATCGAATCTCTACTCACATCGAGTTCCCCTCCTCCTCTCCCTATATTAGATTAGATTAGGTTATAAAATTTCTATAGTTGCCACAAAAAAAAAAATTACAGACAAAATACAAAAACAAAGATGTGCATTTTCTTTTCTTTTAGACCACAGGAGCATCATAGATTGTACCTTTAAAAGTTACACACACGTCTAAAATAGTTTGTTTTTGTCTAAAATTTTAAAGATTCACGTGAGAATTTTATGATAAACTAGCAACATGTGGTTTTCAGAAAATTTGTTAGTAGGAGTCTATTGCTTTAAAAATCACAGGATATGCAATCTTCCTGTTTTCCTTATGTATTAGTGTACATTTTCTCTGCCAAAATATAATATGCTAATGGCGATAAAATTTTATCGTACCTTATTGTAAAACTTGTTAACAAAATTTCTGTATTTGAGAGGCTGAAGAAAAGAAATTTTATTTTTTCTCCATCTCTTTCCTCTCTTCTTTTTCCTTCATATGCCATTGTGCTCTTCCTCCTCCTTTCCCATTGTTGATCACTAATGGCCGCTGTCATCTCACCCTCCCATTTTTTTTCTTCGCTCCCCTTCTCTTCTCCTCTATTCCCTTTTCTCTTCCCTCTCATCCTTACTCTTTACGCCCCTTCTTCCTCCTCTCTTCCTCCCCTTTCTCTCTGCCACCCCCTCTCCTCTAATTCTCTCGTCTCTCCGGCGAAGAAGAGGGGATAGGGTGAGGAAGGAGGGGAAGAAGGAAAAGGAAGAAGAGAAAGAGGAAGGAGGTGAGGGAGAGGAGTAGAAGTGAAGGAGGGACGAGAAGGAGAAAAATGGAGAAGGAGAGGAAGAGGAGGGGCGGGGCCGGGAGGAAGGAAGTGCCGGTGATGGATTGGTGTGTATTTTAAAAATTTTGAAGTGTTTTTAGAGAAAACCTGTAAACAAGTTGTAAAAAAAAAGAAAAGAAAAGAAAACTTGTGTCTCTTGATTCTTAACAAGCTTCACTGGTAGAGTCATGAGGGCTAACCGAGAAGGCCCAAAAGAAAGGGGAAACCCAAAAGCAGAATTTAGCTGCTTCAGTCATTACCCACCAGATACTGATGTGGTAGTCAGTTAGTTAAATGAGGCCCACAAATACGACCGGATATACCATCAAAATAGAACCGTGTAAAGTGTAAGCAAAAAAAAAAAAAAAAAAAAAAAAAGAGAGAAATTTGATTAAAAAATAAGTTATTGGTAGTTTTGCCTTTGAAAAAAAATCAAGAACATAACAATTATTGGTAAATGAAAGTGTGATTATTGGTAAATTCTAACTGCAGCCGTGAAAAGTACAGAAGTTGAAACTCCAAGAGCACAAGGCAACAAGAATATACAAGTCTCAGTTTCTATTCTGTGAAGAACACATGATAATATAACCTTACCCGCTCTTTGTGTTATTAACTGTTGTAAGCTGGTGTACATATAATTTTGCGTTTTTTGAGGGAAGGGGAAAAAAATACAGACGAGCGAGTGAGCAAGCATTTTCTCTAATTCCCAACAAGCTTAAAAAACAGACTACTAGTGTAGTAGTAGTCTCCGAAATGTACACCGTTCGCTCCGTTTGGATTGATCATTTTTTGAAAAACAAGTTTTTAGGATACAATAATATGTTATAATAATATATAAAACTTCAACAACCTCAAAAATACATAAAACATCCTAAAAAACATCAAAGACACAAAAAATAATATAAAAAATAATCTCATCTACAGTAAAAAAATTTTTTTACCTATATTGCTATAATAAAATATTTTAAAAATACCCAAAAACAACAACTAATGGAAACGGAGCCTAAGTTTAACGGAATAAGGCAAAGACAGACAGGGAGGCGAGGCCCAACTTCCAAGTAGGTAAGCACTTCAATTTTTATAAGCGATGTCAGTAATAAATATAGAGCTGAGCTGCCGCTGCTCCTGCCCCGGCCTCTGCCCCTGGGGGGGGGGAGGAGTTGCAGCGTACAATATGAGAAACAATTTCATATGGTCTTTCCATCTTTCAGTGTACGACTCACTGAATACCCCATTTAATAATCTATCTGTCTATTAGCATCAACATCATTACCATAAAAATAACTTCCAAGCCAAGAGATTCCCTATCCATGGTCATTACAGGTCATGCATCCATCCCTCCCCAAATGCA